AAAAAAAAAAAAAAAAAAGATTAAGTTCATACTGACATCTTCTCCTTGGAGACGTCTGATCCCTGGCAAACGTCCTGAGGATTCAGAATCATGAACAAAGTTGTGGAGTTCGTGCTTCTTCCAGTTATACCTTACACAGGTTAAGTGATGCTTTGGTTCTCAGCTCCAACAATCATTTACTGCAATTTGTCTTAACTTGGGTCTGTTATAATCTTAAAAGGCTCTGGAATTTCTAGATAAGGGTTACATGTTAACAATAGAAAAATACTGGGAGACTTTTATTTTGTTGAAGTTGGGTGATGCCTGAATATTTCTGAAAATGATACATGAGCAATGAGTTTTATAGCCATTTTTAATTTAAAAATTTGGTCTACAGTTAAAGACAAGAAGAAAAAAATCTCCATTTTTCATGTTTAGGGAGATTTTCAGCAAGAGAATTTGACTACTGAGGAAACTAATGTGGACTGTATCGGATATGCTGTCGGGTTTGCAGAATAGTAAAAAAAGGGAGTGCCCACCTCCCCCAAAAGAGTGGAACACTAAGTACAGAAACTGTGATTTCTTCTAAACTTTGTCCTTTCGGACAATTTTAGAAATGATCATTCACATTCATAGTCTTCCTTTAACCTTACCAGAAATGTAATTTTTAATAATTTCTAAAGACTCAGAGGGATAGAGTCTTTCTAGCATCTAGTACAGAAGATGAGATGCTTTTACTATGAAATGTTTGTAAATGAGTTTGGTTTGCAGTTTAGCTCTGCAGCATGAGGAGAGCAACTGGTTTGTTTCTGGGTGTGTGTATCCTCTCCAGGTATTGCAAATGAAATGGGTGGGATCACCTTGATCCCCATTTCAATTAATTTAGGCCAGCCGTGTAAAGTGGAGGCTCTGGCTCCCTCCTGCCACCCCCCAGGGAACCAAGCACAGGAAGTGCAGGTGTCAGCAGCGAGCAAACCAAAGAGAACGGGGTCCTTGGCACTGTTCTACAGGAAGGTGAGTGTCCTTATTGGAAGTTGTGCTGTACTTCTGCTCGTGGCCATGCTGGAACCTGCCTCCTTGTGCAGCTTCCATTACTTTCAGTCTTCATGTACCTTTCCTTTGGTACCTGCAGTTCTTATATACCTCGAAGGAGAAGGAGAAAGATGTTGAGTGTTGCAGAGAATCCAGTTTTCCCCTTCCCATTCATGAGATTTTTTTACTTTTTAATTAAGACCTTCCGTAAATAACTATCAAAGACACATTGGTAGATTTTACTTCTCTTGTCTATTTTGACTGCTTCCCACATTTGCAAATTAGACATATCCAAGATGAGATGATTCTCCCGTGTCTGTGGATCCAGCACCTGGAGATTCTCATTTGCCACTTTGAGGCCTGCCTGGTAGTGCTGATTGTGCTGGGCTGGGAGCTCAGAAAGCAGTGATGAATGACACACTAGCTAGGGGTTTCTAGAAAGAAGGAACTTTTTGAAACAATGCAGGATTTAAGGGGCAAGTTAAGAACTGACTGTGCTTCAGAGAAATTTCAGATGACTTACTTCTAGTTACCTTCATTTCCAGTGTGGAGTGTATGAGGGGTCTTTGGAAGAGGCAGGGTAACTTGGTCTAAATGACTACAAAGAATATATGCCTAAATTAATCTCTCAAAAATATTAGAAGATTGGGGTTTTGCTGCTGTTTTCTTACTAGAGAAGTTATTTTTAGAGGGTGTCCCCTTTGGCGGTATCTGTGTTAAAGTACAACCTAGAACATTCTGCAATGAACAATCTTTAAGGTACGTTTTAATACAGAAAGTAATTTCTGGAAACACTTGTAAGCCACATCCTGTGTCTTACTATTGGTTCTTTAATTTTGCTAGTGACAGTCTGTCTCTCTGAGAACAGATCAAGAATTGAGTAGCCAGCTGCCAGGTGGGAACATTGCAATTTGGAACATTTACTCTCAGCCAGGGAGTACCTTCAGCTGTAGCCATGTATTTGAGCAATAATAGGCAATATATTCTTCTTAGTTATGAAGGAGAACTAAAATCTTGAACTTAAATTTGTCTTTAAATTTTGACCTTTCATTTACATTGATCATGCTATTCACAATGATAGTTTTTCCTTCCTCTCCTTTCTTGCTCCTGTTCAGTAGAGCAAGTGAAAATAAAATTACCTCCTTCTGCTTTCTAGCATAAAGAATGGGCCTAATTAGTTAGTGAGGGATATGGTGTAGAAGCCATAGGCATAATGTTTTTAGGCAGATTTTCTATAAGCATTAGAGATTCAACAGCTGAAAAGTGGACAATTTAGTCTTTGAATCATAGAATCCCAGAATGGTTTGGATTGGAAGGGACCTAAAAGATTATCTCATTCCAACCCCCTGCCATGGCCAGGGACACCTTCCACTACACCAACACTTCCAGGGATGGGGCAGCCACAGCTTCTCTGGCCAACCTGTGCCAGGGCCTTACCACCCTCACAGGGAACAACTTATTCCCAGTATCCCATCTAACCCCTTCCCTCTGGCAGTGGGAAGCCATTCCCCCTTGTCCTGTCACTCCAGGCCCTTGTCCAGTGTCTTTCTCCAGGCTGAACAACCCCAACCCTCTCAGGCTGTCCTCACAGGAGAAGTGTTCCCTCCCTCTAGTCATCTTCATGGTCCTTCTAGAACAGCTCTGCTTTGAGCCATTTCATTTTTGCAGGGTGGGATAAGGTTGTTTGGCTTCGCTCTTTCCTGTGTGTCTTTCTCTTCCAGGTCTATCACCTGGCCAGTGTGCGCTTGCGTGACCTGTGCTTGAAGTTGGATGTTTCCAATGACTTGCGCAGGAAGATATGGACGTGCTTTGAATTCACGTTGGTTCACTGTGCTGATCTAATGAAGGACAGACATTTGGACCAGCTCCTCCTCTGTGCCTTTTATATCATGGCGAAGGTAATGTGTAGTTTTTAAGAAATTCGGGGAATTTTACATTCAATCGACAATGTCAGGTGTGTTCAGAGTTTACAATTTAATTGCTTCATTCTTGTCATATTACCGGAGGGAAGGAAAAAGTCCTTCCAAAAAGTGCACGAAGTCCTAGTACGTGTTTTTCCTTGTTTTGCATATCTTAAAAGTTCCCACCAACCAGCCAGTGTGTTGAGAGGGTTTTTCTTCTCTTCCTGAGCACATTCAAGGTGAGCGCTGGTTGATGCAGACAAAGCACTGTGTGATCTTATTGCCCCATGTTTGTTTTCTATCCTGTTTGTCATTTTCACGATCTGTATAATCTGAACCAAAAAATCCATTGCAGTTACAGAATTAGGCAGGTGCAGAAGTTTGCAGGAGCAAATGTATGTAGGAAAGGTTTCTATTCCCCAAAAATCCTCTTAGGTTTTGAAGATCCAGGCTGAGGAATTGAGGTGGTTGTCTGCTACTCGTACTTCTTCATTTCTTATTCCATTTGCCAGCTTTCATTTAAGGTGTTGTTAAATTGGATTATGAAACTGGAATATTAGTTTGACTCAAACTTGAGCTGATGGTTATGGTGTCCATCAAGTCTAATTCAGACACAAAATTCAGGAGGTGAAACTAAGCCCAGGGTCCTTCCACTGGGGCTGAATTACCTTTTCTTGAGACAAACAAATAAAGAGGAGCACCATATGTGGAGGGAAACTGATGTTTAAATTGTGACTACCTGTGCTCTTAACTGCAGTGTGGCTCAGGCTCACCTGACATCAATACTGATAGCTGCAGGAAAGCAAAACCATTGAATAGTCAGTGCTCTGTATCAGTGGTCTGCGTCACGTAATTTGCCAGTTGTTTGGGTTTTTTTCATAATACAGGCTTTAAGTGCTGACTCCAGTGCAGTGTGAGACCTGACAACTTAGCCAGAGACTGTGATACATTCTCTCCTGGCCCCTACTACAAAAATTGTTCCTTGTCTGCTGTTAAAATTGCAAATGTATGGCTGAAAAACTGCTTTAGCAAGTGACCTTTTTTTAAGTACAAAAGCAAGATGAAATTGCATGAGTGTACATACCTACCTACTTTCTGTTTAGAAAAGTTAAGGGGTCCGGTTTCCAAATTTACAAAATGCATTTTTGACTTTATAATATTTCCCTTCCTTAATTTGAAGTGTCACTAGAAGAAAAGCCGAAAAAGAAAAATGCCTAAGCATCATAATAAAAAGACTTTGGTGGCTAAGAAACAAGGAATTCCTGAACAAGAAAAATCCTTGGTGTTTTCTTATTCTCTTCACCAGGATTAACTTTTAAAATTATGTACTGATAGTAATACTCACTGAAAAGCTGCATGCTGGACCTGAGCAGCCCAGCCTTCATGCTTGTACTTGGTCTTCAATACCCTTTTCTGTTCCAGGTAACCAAAGAGGAAAGAACTTTTCAGGACATAATGAAAAGTTACAGGAATCAGCCACAAGCAAACAGCCATGTGAGTCAATAGCATTGCCTTTCCTCTCTGCAGATCTCAGAGGTGGCTTTTCAAGTGTTTGTGCTCATAAATCCTGTGCAGTATAATATTCATTCCCATTCAAATGGATTTCATCTGGTCTCTCAACTTCCTTGTTTTCCTTGACAAGTGTTTTTCCCTGTTGTCTTGTAGGTTTATAGGAGTGTCTTGTTGAGAAATATTTCTGCTGATGTCTCGGGCAAAAATGCAGACCCAGATACAGAGATGACAGAAGGTGGGTACAGCAAAGGAATCTGCTCTTTTCAGTAATGTACTTGTGGGCTTTTACAGAACTGAACTGTCAAGTGATAAGAAGTGGAGCAAATTTTACAGTTTTAAATATGTTAAAGAAGAACAAATATAATGTTGAAAAAGAAACCCTCTTGTCAGTAGCTCTCCTGTGTGCTAGAAGTGGAAATTACGCTTCCTAGTTGGAAAGAATGTTTGATTTTTCTTTCCATAAGTTTGGTTGCTCAGGGTTGAAGTATCTTCTTAGTTTGTCAATGATATTATAGTTCTTCTTGGACAGCAACACTGGTTAAGAAAGAAAGATGAAGATGAACAGTACCTGGAATATTATGATTTTTTTTTCTTAATATCACCTGTTCTGAAGATTTAACAGAAAATAAAAATGCTGACTTATTAAGACCACCATTTTCTTATATTCAGGTTTCTTTTAAATAGATGAAATTTTCTTTGCTCTAGGTTAGAGAAGAAAAGGGTAAGAGCAGTATTAGAGAAAAGCATGAGAACTGTGCGGTGCCCATTTTGAGTGACATGTCAGGACAGTGAGAGATCTTGAGCCCATGTATGAACCCATGAGCAGAGCAGATCTGCAGCCAGGACACACGTGGAATTTAGGAGTTTTTTCTTTGTGGTACATTCCCACTGTGGCTGGGATTCAACTGCCTGAAGGAGTATTAAAGCTGTTTTTTAAAGGCCTGGTGAGGATTCCATCAGGGTCCAGGAAAGTGCTAATCTCCTGTAGTTCAGCATCCTGTCTGACAAATCCACACTTCTTGGATGTCTTGGAGTATCTTGAAGTGACGCTGGGCTCCAGTGTTTTGTTAGACAAATGTACTTGGTTACAAAGTTCTTCACTGGCTTTTCCTGCCAGACTTTTTCTTCATTATATAGACTTGTGTCTCCTTTGTTTAGTAACCCCTGCTCTTTTGACACCAGCTTACAGGAGCACATGCCTGTGTTGTGACAGAAGGCAGACAGATGGAGTTACAGGTGTCAGCTGGAGCTTTTGATGTTTGTCTCTGGGCAGTGATGGCCAGAGACCTTATTCTGCGCTGCCCTGTTTTACTTGGCAGTGAGCAGAATGGAGGAGGAGACATAGAAGGTTGTATTCAGTAGCACTTCAGCTTAATTAGGGGAGAAAGAACATTAACAGAAATACACTTGCTGTGTGGCTGCAGCTTTTCCCACTGAACCTAACACACCTGAACAAATGGTGCCATAGCTTCCATGCAGCAGATGTGAGTTGAGCTGATCAATAGAAACTTTCACAGAAGCCAAAAGCTGAGAGGTGTCAGACTGCTTAAAACATAGTTTTAAGAGCGTCTAATGGCTTTGTACCACTCCTCAAAATAAGCATGGGAGAAGGGTTCAGTCGTGCTACAGTTTCTTGCTACAGCTATTTCCAAGTTTGGAATGAAGGCTGGTGTTGGTCTTTTTAGCCATAACCCACTAGCCTGCTCACAGCCATTGGTAGCTTCTCCTAATGTTCATAACCATCTGCAGCAGCCCCTGCTCCTGCCTCAGGCATGTTTCTTTAATTCCTCTCGTTAACTAGTCAATTTATGGACAAGTTCTTGCTAGCTGGACAGGGTAAGTTTGACTCTGAAGCGCCCAGTTTTTGACATCTGAAGCTCTCTCATTGTTAGACTCAGCTGTGAAAGCTGCCAGTTCCTCTGGACGATCCGCAGCAGAGAACTCCAGTGAGTCGGAAACAGAGGAGAGAGGAGATCTGATTAAATTTTACAATGCGGTCTATGTAGGACGAGTAAAGGCATTTGCACTGAAGTACGATATCACAAACCAGGATCATGTGGTAAGTAAAGTACTTTGGAATGAATACTCACTCATTTTTCCTGACGGTTAAACGTATGCCAATAATTTTGTCCTGTCACTCACCTGCTGTGGGTGAAGTCAGATAGTTGTAGGTAATGGTATGAAAACTTGCTTTAACAGCCTTTTGAGAGAACTGACGCGGATGCTGTTCAATTTGCAAACCTGGTTTCAGCTTCTTTACCTCGATGCAACACCCATTTGCTCAAGTGCCTGTGGACCATCTCTGTAACACATCTAGACAATTAATTCTGTTATTTGATCGATATTTGATCTGTTGTTTACCTCTCTCAAGATAAAATCTTCTAAAGAAGACCTGGAGGTGTATTAATCTTTCCTTCTGTGCAGTTACTGCTCTTAAACACCTTGTGATTGAGCTCCCACGCAGATGTGTCCTCCCTTGCAGATGGAAGCCCCTCCCTTGTCCCCATTCCCCAGCATCCGGCAGCAGCCAGTGTCCCCCCGGCGCATCTCCCAGCAACACTCTGTTTACGTGTCGCCTCACAAGAACGGCGCCTGCCTGACGCCCCGAACTGCACTGCTCTACAAGTTCAGTGGGAGCCCTTCCAAGGTACACAGCAAAAAAAGGTTGAAAGGCGTCAGTTTGAGAGTGAGTTAATTAATCTCCTAATTAGGATGTGGTATAATGCAGTTCTAGTGTGCTATAATGCATCTAGTCTCTCAGTTTGCACTGAAGGGTAGAATTATGTATGTAGAATCCATCACTCACAGAGGTTCAGAATAACCTTTTGCTCTCAGATATTTGAAAACCAGAGCAAGTTTGAAATGGAGACAGAGTAACTCATGATTTTTTTTATCTTGATCACAGAGTTTGAAGGACATCAACAATATGATAAAACAAGGTGAACAGAGGAGCAAGAAGCGAGCAATAACAATTGATAGTGACACTGAATCCCCCACAAAGCGACTCTGCCAGGAAAATGATGATGTTCTTCTAAAACGTCTCCAGGATGTTGTCAGTGAAAGAGCAAATCATTAAAACTGCCTGTTTCCTGTGGGATCTAAAAACTATGGAGCTGGTTACAGCTGTTGTGCTGTTTATTTCCTGGCTTTGTATACAGACAACTGCCAAGTTTCTTTAACACTGAACTTTTACCTGACTTCCACAGGATGCAAAAAGCAATAGTTAAGTAGGAAATGCCAGTGATCTTCATTCCCAAAGGCCATGCTGTGCTATAACTTTGAGCTGTTTTAGCAAGAGTGTTTTGTAGAAAGCCATATTGGATGTTCTCAGGCCTAACTGGGAGCATCGTGAGTTCTGAGTGTAACTCAGCTTCTAGTAACATTGGTTTTATTTTTGGAATCAGATTGGTAAAGAAATGAGTGAACTCAGTTTAAGTTTCCTCAAACTTTTTATATTTAGAGAAAAAATTTTCAAAGTGCCTTATTTTAAAAGAATGTGAAATTTTATGCATTATTTTCTGTGGAGTAACTGGAGGGAATAAAAATGGATCATTTAGCCTCAGGAAGAGCTGAGCAGTTTTGAACTGTCAGAACTTCACTTAAAGTGTAGGTTGTGACATGGATCTGACAGCTTTGCAGTAATGGGGCAATAATCAAAAAATACAAATAGCAGTGACTTAAATTGGACTCTGGTAAAGCACTGAGATACAGTTCAGTGAATTCCCTTTCTTTTGAGCCAGGGGGTGCTGCCACATTGGAAGTTACAGAGCAGCCAGCCCTAGAAGATTTTCAAATGGATGGCAGCTCACCCTGAAGAATTACAAGCGGATTACAGTTAAAATCAGCAGCTGGGGCAAGATTAGAGCCATAGAGAAACTTCTCAGCACTGTAATTTTCAGTTTCTGTGTAACTGAACTGAAAAAAAAAAAAGGAACGATTACACATAGGACTTGTTTGAGGAGCTCTGCTCACTTCGTTGGCTGGGTTAGGTTAGTATGGAAGTGTTAGTAAAAAGCACTGTGATGATTTTGGGCAGTCTCAGCCAATGAATCTGGCCAGGAGTCAGAGAGGAGAAATTGATTCCTAAGTGTGAGTGATTCCTAAGAGTGAGGGACACTACTCAGCAAGGAGTAGAAAGTTTACAAACTTGGTTTTGAATTCTTTGAACTACTTGAATTTTGTTTTTTTGGTTTTGTTTTTTTTTTTACTTTCAAAAAAAGGTGCTTGGTGCTTGGCCATGGAGAGCTGCAGCGTGAGGAAATGGCCATGCAGAGGACTAACTTCCGTGTCGATTCTTCAGTTTCTTTAATTTTATTCAAGTTTTAATGTTTGTCTTCAGATTTTGAGATAAAAAGTGGAGGATTCTAGCCTTTCTGGGTGGGAAATGTATGGTCAGACATAACAGGGTCAGTCTTTTCACAGTATTGTATGACGAGAGTTTAGTTGATTTGGTTTACGTTTGACATGACGTGCACATCTCATGTGTCTGGTCCCCACGCTGTCACTGCCTTCTCTGAGACCAGAAAACTGATGGTGCCAAAATCCTTAGTAGTTGTCTTTAAGTGTAGTGTTTCTGCAGTTCAGAATTTTTCACCTTTTTAGGTGATAGAAAAAATATTTTTGGCTTGTTGAACAGCTGAAACAATAGCTTACATGGAAATTTTGTTAACGGTTTCAAAGTGCCTTCACATGTAAATCTTTGTTTTATAATAAACAACTAAAAAGTATTTTAACCTATGTTGCTATATTTCCTGTTGTTTCCCTGTTCTAATTCATTAAACAATGCCTTCTGTCTGCATTTTCTGTAATGTCAAAGACCATCATTTTTATATTCCCTCAAATTTCTTTGGGATGTTTTTTCTTTTTAAATTCATCATATTTCATGTGTTTTGTCTGAAGGTTCCTCCTGAGGTTTCTTTACTGTTTGTGCTTCAGACCAATGTGGTTTCTGGGAGGAGAAGGTGAGTAATACATTACATGAAGTAACCAAAAAACAAAGAAAGGGAGAAAACCCTGCAGTGACAGGTGACATGCCCACAGAGAAAGGTGTGACTCCAGCATAGGTGAGCTGTTGGACTCACTGTGGGCTCCAAGTTCTTATCTCCCAGCACTGCAGCCATGAGATCCACGTGCTGGTACTGGCTGCCCTTCTCCCAGACGTGTTTCAAAACCAGCCTTGGACAGGTTCAGATCTGTAGCAGCTGGTTTTGTCACTCCAGGTAAGCATAAAGCTGGCATGAACCCAGAGCTTTTAAATTACTCTTGTTCACCTGCTCTGGGGGTGGGGAAAAGGCTAATTTGTGCAGATTATCCTGTAATGATGTTTTAAAAGACTAATCTGTAGTTCAGAGAATCACAGAATATCCTGATTTGGAAGGGACCAGCAAGGATCATCAAAGTCCAACTTCTGGCCCTGCACAGGACACCCCAACAAACACAGAATGGCTTACGTTGGAAGGGACCTTTTTAAGATCATCTGATTCCCCACCCTGTGCCTCAGAGCATTGTCCAAACCCTCCTGGAGCTCTGGCAGCCTTGGGGCTGTGCCCACTGCCCTGGGGAGCCTGTTCAGTGCCCAACCACCCTCTGGGGGAAGAACCTTTGGCTGAGATCCAACCTGACCCTGCCCTGGCACAGCTCCAGCCGTTCCCTCAGGCCCTCTCAGTGGTCACAGAGCAGAGGTCGGTGCTGCCCCTCCGCTGCTGCTCGTGGGGAAGCTGCAGAACCCCAGGGAGGTCTGACCTCAGTCTCCTCCAGCTGAACAAGCCAAGTGCCCTCTGCTGCTCCTCATGGCCCCTCAAGGCCCTTCACCATCTTTGTAGCCTCCTCTGCATGTGCTCTTTAATGGCTTTATATCCACATATGGAGGCCCCTCAACCTGCCCCAGGACTTGAGGCTGCCCTCTGCAGACCAGAGCAGGACAGACCCCCCTCACCCTGCTGGGCCTGATGCCCCCCAGGACAGGGCTGGCCTTTGGGGCTGCCAGGGCACTGCTGGCTCCTGTTCCACCTGCCTCAGCCCAAACCTCCGACCCCTTTCCCCAGAGCTCTCCAGCCTCTCATTCCTAGTCTGTCTGTACATCCAGAGTTGCCCCATCCCCCTTGTTGAACTTCCCATGGTTGGTGGGTGCCCAGTCCTCTCATTTCTCAAGGTCTCTCTGCAGGGCCTCCCTGCCCTCGAGGGACTCAACAGCCCCTCCCAGTTTTGGGTCATCTGCAGACTTGCTCAGTGTCCCTTCCAGTGCTGTGTCCAAGTCATTGATGGAGACGTTAGAGAGCACAGGGCCCAAGATGGAGCCCTGGGGAACCCCAGTAGTGACAGGTCACAGTCTGATGTCACCCCAGTTACTGTCACCCTCTGTGCCCGACCCCAGAGCCAATTGCTCAGCCAGCACAGGATGTGTTTATGCAGCTGTGGGCTGGACAGTTTGTCCAGAAGGATCTGGGGAGAGACAGGATCAAAAGCTTTACAAAATCCAAAGGCTTCCCTTGACCAGCCAGGTGGGTCACCTTGTCATAGGAGGAAACCAGGTTGGATAAGCAGGACTTTCCTCTCATGAAGCCATGCTGGCTGTGACCAATGACTGCGGTGTCTTTCAGGGCGTTTTCAATAACTCCCAGAATAATCTCTATAATTTTACTAGATTGCTGACGTGAGAGTGTAGGCAGGCCTGTAGTTTCATTTCTGGGATCATCCTTCTTACCCTTCTCAGAAATCGGGACAATGTTCACCGGCTTCCAGTCAGCTGGAACCTCTCTAGATTCCCAAGGGCATTGAGAGGCCTCATGATGACATCACTCAGCAACTTGAGTACTCTTGGATGAGTACTCCCATCAAACTTAGAGGGATTCATCTGGAGCAGCAGATCCCACACAATGTCAGGGTCAACTGGGAGTTGATCATTCTCACAGTCATGGTCCTCCAGCTCAGGGCACTAGCACCCCCTTAGCCCTTGAAAACCAAAACAAAGAAAGTGGTGAACACCTCTGCCTTGTGCCTCTCCATCCTCATCAAGTAACAGGCTGATGTTATTTCTGCACTGCCTTTTGCTATTCGTGTATTTTAAAACCCTTTTTATTGTCCCCCGCAATACTGCCCAGCACCAATACTCCAGCTGAGCTTTGGCCGCATGAATTTTCTCCCTACAGTGATAAGCAGCAGTTCTGTGTTCCTGCTACATCACCTAACCTTGCTCCCACTGACCACACACAATCTTTTTTTTGCCTTAGCTCCAGAGGAAGATCCCTGCTCAGCCAAGCTGGCCTTCTGCCTCGCCTGTTTGCCTTCTGATATTTGGGAATTGCCTGCTCCTGTGCCCTTCAGAGGTGGAGCTTAAAAAGTGACCAGCACTGATGGACCTCAGCACCTCCAAAAGCATTTCCCCAGGGAACTTACTGACTAATTCCTTGAGGAGCTTGAGCTCTGCTCTCCTCATGTCCAGAGTTGAGGTTTTGCTGGCACTTTTCCACCTGTCAGCAGAGATTTTAAACTCGATCACTTTGTGATCGCTGTGGCCAAGACAGCCCCAACCACCACTTCACTCTCGGGACCTATTTCTGTTAACAAGCAACAAATCAAGGAGAGGGCCTTTCCCAGTCAGCTCCCTTAGTACCTGTACCATGACGTTATGATCCAAATGTTTTAGCAATCTTCTGGACCAGTTTGTACCAGCTGTGTGGTATTCCCAGTTAACCTCTGTCAAGCTGAAATCAGATAAAGGTGATTGACTTAGATGTGTTTCTTAGTGTTCCATAGTAGATTCCCACGATGACACTCATTTGTTTGTTTGTCCCTTAATATTACCCAAGGACTAGTTATCAGGCAAGGGGATGTTGAGGGGTGTAGTCGGGAAAACCTGGCTGCTTTTCCCTTTGTGACTTTGTTTTTGCAGACAAGACTGCCAGTGAGGGAACAGCATGGGGGCAGCCTGAAGTGAGAAACCAGGCCATTGTACCCCAGACTTGCAAACCATCCTGTCTGCTGGGGCAGAGGTTTTTCACTAATTCTTCAAATGAAAAATATCAGCTCCTTAAAACTCCTTGAAGCGGATTCAAAGCTTCCATGTTTACTACAGCTCAGCTTTCTACAAAGTTAAAAGGTTATTCACACCCCTGGGGAGAATACTATAAATCTGCTAGCTCTTTACATATAAGCAGTACGTTAATATTATGTTGCCACATCCTAAGTGTTGTACTAAGATGTGGCCTCAAGAAAATTTGTGGTTAGAGTGCAATTAAGCAGCAGGGGGAATCGAAACTGATTTTCTCTTTAGTTTCCTGTTAGGAATTACTCTTCTTGTGTTGCTGTCCTGTGACTCATGAAGAGTTTTTTGTAATTTGATGCCTGAGGAGTGGTGAGAATTGAAATTGGAGACACAATAGAAACTATGAAGTTATAAAGAAACTGTAAGCATGTAAGGAGTGCTGGGATCTCAGATCAAAGAAGTTGAATGTGTCTAAATCTGTCTCAATGCCAAAGTCACTGAGCAAACAAAGATTACTCAGTTTGATTACTTTGATTACTGAAATCAAAATTTACAGTAAGCACATAAATCACTGCCCAAGTAGCAGTTCTTGAAAGACTGGTGTCAGTTGAACACAATGCCAAACTCCTAAAACTTTTCACTTCCTTCAGTGACCAGAAGTGCCTTGGAGGGGAAGTGCATCAGAGGTGGATGATGCTTGTGGTTCCCAGCCCGGCCACAGCCAGCACCAGCGCTGCCCTGCTCCACCTGAAGGCTGGGCAGAGCTGCCGGGGCACAGGGCTCACACGGTGCCTCGTCCTGAAGGTTTGTACACCTCAGTAATGGGGAACCTTTTGTTCCAGGGAGCCGAGTTTCCCTGCACGTGTACGCCACAGCAGTGCTCCCGTGACCCGGCGCTGCCCCTCAGCTGAGGCACAATGGACTCGAGCTGCAGTAGCTTTACTGCAGCACCTTCTCAGCCTTGTCTTACATGTCATCCATCGTGGGTCCCTCTCACAGCAAAACAGTTTTGCAAGGGCTCAGTCACACAAATTTCAATTAGTCCATGTGTAAATACGGGGCTCAAGCAGATGAGGTTGTGGAACAAACTGGTGCCAAGTCACAGACGGCTTTGTCGTGAACTTTCCAGTTCCTTGGTAGCGAGTTTGTGGCACTGCCTCATGGAGTCTATCCAGTGGTGGATGCCCCATCCCTGGGAGTGTTCAAGGCTAGGCTGGATGGGGCTTGGAGCAACCTGGGCTAGAGGAAGGTGTCCCTGCCCATGGCAGGGAGGTTGGAACAAGATGAGGTTTAAGGTCCCTTCCAGCCCAAACCATTCTACGAATACCAGAAAAATGCTACAAAAAATACATAAAGTGAAAAAAATAAAGAGCCCCTACAAAGGAATATTTCTCTTCATCCTGACTTTGACCATGTGCCTTGGGTTTTGTTTGCCATTGCAGCAGGATCTACTGGCATAACTTTGGGTTTCTGCACCACGTTGTATGAGTAGAGATAACCGAGTTTCCTGTGTGTGCAGCAGTGGGAGGGGATGGGAGGGCACTCAGGCCACGTCAGTTGCACACAAACAAGTGCAAAATGAACTCTTTTTCTTCCCTTCCCCTTTTTCATGTGCTTTGTTTGGTCACAAGGGACTTCGTGCTGCTCAGAACAACACACTGCCAAGTGCAGTATTTTTTTTTCTTTTTCTTCTTGTTACCCAAGAGTGCAATTGGTAATCCCTGTCCTCTTGCTGCACCTCGTGTCCATCTGG